ATTTATCATATTTATAAAATTTTATATATTTAATTTAATTAAACTTAAAATTAATTATAATGATATATTTATAAATAATTTAGTGAAATTATTTTTTAATTAAAAATTTTTAATTATTAAACTTACAAATTTAAACATTTTTTTATTTTGCCTGCGGATTAAAATTGGCAGGAAAATCCGCAGGAAAAGTTACCTTAAATTTTTTTTACTAATTAGTAAACATTACTTGTGAATTTATTTTTACAAGAAAATATGCAAGAATCAAAATAAAATTTTTACAACATTTTTTGCAAATTTTTACCATAGAAAAAAATTTCTATGATCATTAAAATTGTAACAATATTTGCAAAAATTTCTTGTAGATTATTTTTCATAAAACAAAATGTAAGAAATATCTGTAAATTATTTTTTACAAATAAATTCGTAAAATATTTTGTTAAGTTATTATTGCAAGAAAATTTTAAAAAAACAATTATGAATATTTTTTTAGAAAAATTTGCAACAAAAAAAAAACACTTTTCTAATAGTCATATAATTAATATTGCATTAAAAAACTATGCATTAAAAAACTATGCTATAATGAATTTGATACTTATTTTTTCTAAGATGGAGGAGTATTTTAATATTGTAAATACTCTATTTTCTAATAGTGATATACTTATTTCATGCATTAAATGCATAACTTTTCTGCTTTAATCTTTTCTTCAATTTTCGTCCCATACGTTATTCAACAATTAATAAAACTATTTATTATACGCTTAGTTTTGAAGAAAATAAAATAAAATAATAAATGTTTTCATTGTTATTAATAAATCAATTACTCTGTATAAGCCAAAAAAAATTACATTAACTAAGAAATTCTTTTTGGTGTCGATAAAAAACAAAAATAGTTAATAATATTATTTAATTGCACTAATTTCATTTAAAAATAATTTAATTTTCAAAATTAATCTTTTTTAAAACTTAATATCAATAATAAGAAACATTGAAAACACATTTTTAATTAAATGAAGGAGTATTTAAAAGATGATAATATTAAATAATGTAAATTTAGATGATATTTGTTTATATTTAGGACCAACAAACAAAAACTTTTTTTTCTTCTTTTCAAAATCAAAGGAAGTATTTTTTATTTTTTTTTTAAGTTTTTCTTCTTTTCAAAATCAAAGGAAGTATTTTTTTAAGTTATAAAAATATAGGCTACATATTTATTATATTTATTAAATTTTATAATAACTAAAATATATAAATAAATATTATCTTTGAATATATAAATTATATTTA